TGTTGGCCAGCCAGTAAGCCATTCTAAGTAGTTTTCTATCCTATAGATATACTAGATTCTTTGCTATTTCCTTTACTCCTAAAAGGAGATTAGGTTTGATTAAATTTTTTCATTAAAAAAATTTTACTGTAAGGGAATTACATATTTTCTATTAAAATATTAATTAAGAAAAAATACTCAATACAGGTATCGTTCATTAGTTATAATGGAGAAGAGAAAGTTATTATAAGGTATTCCTGGATAGAAAATTAATCTTTATGCCAACAGTATAATATTAGAAGGATCATTCTTAAAATAAAATTAAAGTTTCAGAAATTATCAAATCTATTCATTCAAAAATAGTATCATATTTGATTGGAATGCATTAACAATAAGGTGTATCAAAAAGTGAATAACTTCATGTATTTTTCAGTCAAATCAGAAGATAAATACAGTGATATAGTACTTCAGATAAGATTAAGTCTTTAAGTTTTCATATTTCAAAACTCAATTAATTCTTAGCATTTTGACTTTAAGAATAATAATTTTAGTTTTTAACTCATATTTACTCTTTAAAAGATGATTGACTCAGTTTGGAAATCTCTTGTTTTAAGTAATTAAATCTCTGGAATATTTTATTAATTGGGAATTGATTATTCATTTTTTGATAAATGAATACTTTATAAACTGTTTTTTCATTAAACTCTCGATTCATTCTATTGTTAATTCAAAAAGTAGTCCGATCAGTTTTCTCTATCCTGTTAAGTTTTCAATTACAGTACATTTTTTTTAAATTGCTACCTAAAGTCATGTTAGAGATAAAATTATTTAAACAATCAAAACAATATTCATATTCTATGGGGTTTTTTTTGTAATTAAACTAATTATTTATAATTAATTAATATGATTCTAGTTATTACTCATAAAAACACTAAATGGCAAACTTAATCTGATTATTTTTTATCATTACTTAATTGAAATCTTTTAATGATTCAGTATTTATCTTGAATTAAAATTATAATTGCTATAATTGAGACAATACATAATCTAATTATTATTATATTTGTTTTGTTTTCATTATTATTCATATGATAAAACTATTTTGAATGGATTATTTAAAGAATTGTTTAAGTCAGTTATTAAATTTTTAATATGTAGCCTAGATTTGTTAATTATGTTGATAAATGGGAAGTGAAAGTATGATCATTTGGGAAGGTAATAAAAAAAAACATGATGTAGATTGATAAAATGAAGTTGAGGAATAGTGTAAAGAGATTGGAGCTATTAATTTAATTATTTCAGCTAAATTCGGAATTGTATTAATGAAATGTATAAATCTTTGGGATAGAGTAACAATTACATTCAATTATAGGTATTCGAATCAAAGTATCAGCATCAGAAATTAAAGAATGCTAATAACTTTTAATATGTTAAAGACACTAAGAAATAAAACTAAGAAAATAAAGGATGTTGTTGAAATTTAATCAAAAATTTATTAAATATTTATTTTTATTTTTTATTTGCTAAGATTATTTTAAATCATATTTTAATATTTTTCATATACTCTTTTGGCTCATTTATTACTCACACTAAAATGGGAATACAATCCATACAAATAATATATATGATCTTATTCTTAATTTTATTTTGGATCTGCCTAGTAAGTTGTTTAAAAAGGATCAGTCATATGCATTATGTAATTTAGATAATTTTAAATTTCAACTCTATCTTTACACAAAAACAAAAATTCAAGTATTTTATTGATCAAAAATTTATCTTATTAGATTTAAATATTCATTAGATTTATGAATAATTATATCTATGTTGATTAGAAACTAGATCTCTAATTATTTTCGATTAATCTTTAATATTCTACAAACAAATGAAAATAATAATGTAAATTTATAAGTTATTACAATA